CTTTTGACAATATGATTTCCATTGTAGAATGGCCCTAAAAGATCCGTATTTAATTTAATTATTTATTTAAATTTTTTATTAACTATAATTTGTTATTAATTCTATTTTTAATTTTTTAATTAATTTTTGATTAATTCTATTTTTTATTAATTAATTAATTAATTAATTAATTATTTAATTAATTAATTATTTAATAATTTAATTAATTGTTATTAATTATTAATTATAAATTTCTCATTAATTAAAATTTCTTTTTGTTTATTTGAAATTAGTTTTTCTTTGGACGAGAAATGAGAAACCTGCTATGGGTAGTTTGCCATTATTAAATTATCCTGTGTGTATAAATGTATATACGAGAACGGTACCCTGAGCAATAATAATTATATCGTCTATCAATATATATATATGTATATTAATATTAAAGTAAAGTTGTATTTTGCCCTCGCGTTTCGACACACACTTAACATTTATGTAGATTAAACTGGTATATATGATCGCTGATTATAATCTTCCCATTACAGTCACAACAACTTACAGCGCTTCCAAGCATTTCATTTTTATTTTTTTTTACAGTTTTATATTCTGATTAACAACTCGAACGATTCATCTGCCTTGATAAATGCAGCTATTTACTGCCTCCTATGAGACAAGTGACAATATTTATTGAATGAAAATTAATTTCGACTTTTAAAATTGAAATTCGTCGAATTTAGAGTAGAAACATTGTTTTAAGGAACAGTTCTGGAAAATTTTACTGATAACATTCATACTGATAGTTTTTTGGCGAAAATAATTATGATTGGTAATTTTTGACATTCTTTTCTTTCTAGAATCACATTAATTGACCTAAATTTTGTTCAATTAAGTTTTCACATTCATTTCATTGTAGAATCACCATAATTGACCTAAATTTACTAGTTGGTTGTTTTTTTAAAATTTGTTTCATTGTAGAATCACCCTAATTGACCTAAATTTACTAGTAGATCGATTTTTAACATTCGTTTCATTGTAGAATCACCCTAATTGACCTAAATTTACTAGTTGGTCGTTTTTTAACATTTGTTTCATTGTAGAATCACCCTAATTGACCTTAAATGTGTGTTTAAAAATGTCGTTTTCACATTAATTTCATTGTAGACTCACCGTAATTGACCTAAATTTACTAGTTTGTCGATTTTTAACACTCCGTTCATTGTAAAACCACTCTAATGGATATAAACTTTAGTTTCTCGCTTATTACATTAATTTAATTGTATTTTTTAACATTCGTTTCATTGTAGAATCACCCCAAATTGACCCATATTTTCTTTAATTAAGTTTCCACTTTAATTTCATTGTAGAATCACCATTATTGACCTAAATTTACTAGTAGATCGATTTTTAACATTCGTTTCATTGTAGAATCACCCCAAATTGACCCATATTTTCTTTAATTAATTTTTCACTTTAATTTCATTGTAAAATCACATTTATTGACCTAAATTTAATAGTAGATCGATTTTTAACATTCGCTTCATTGTAGAATCACCCTATTTGACCTAAATTTTGCGGTTTATAAGGTTTTCACGTTAATTTCATTGTAGAATCACTGTAATTGACATAAATTTTCTAGTTGGACGATTTTTAACATTCGTTTCATTGTAGAATCACCTTAATTGACCTAAATTTTGTGGTAATAGTTAAATATTGTGTTTCACGCTAATTTCATTGTAGAATCACCCTAATTGACCTAAATTTTGTTTAATTTAATTTGTTTAATTTTGTTTAAAGTTTTCACATTAATTTCATTGTAGAATCACCATAATTGCCCTTAATTTACTAGTTGATCGTTTTTTAATATTCGTTTCATTGTAGAATCACCCTAATTGACCTAAATTTTGCGGTTAATAAATTTTTCACGTTAATTTCATTTTAGAATCACTCTAATTGACCTAAATTTTCCGGTTGAACGATTTTTAAAATTCGTCTCATTGTAGAATCACCCTAATTGAATACATTAAATTCTAAACTAATATAAAATGTTCTGGAACAGTTCAGTAAAAATATTTTAAACTACAATTTTCGGAACGGTTCAGGAAAATATTAACAATTTCTTTTTTTTGTCGTTGATCCGTAAAGAATATTCAACTACAATTTCAGAAGGGGTTCGAAAAATATTTTCAGCTACAATTTTAAAAACGGTTTAGGAAAATATTACAAATTACTATTTTCAGGAACGGTTTAGGAAAAAAATAATGTAGCTTCAATTTTTAGAACCAATTTATTTTTTTTATGATACATTTTTAAAGAACGATTTTGAAAATATTTTAATAGACAATTTCAGAAACGGTTCTGTAAAATAATATTTAATACAATTTTAAAATTCAAGAACAGTTACGAAAAATATTTTAAACCAAAATTTTCACGAGTGATATAAAATATTATTACATTCAGGAAAAAAAATTGGAAATATTTTCAATTTCAGGAATAGTCTCAAAAGGTATTCAAGAAAATATTTGTAAAAATACAATTATTTTATGGAACAGTTCAGGAGAATATTTGTAAAAATACGATTTTAAGTATCAGTTCAGGAAAATATTTGTTAAAAAAAACATATTTTTAAGGAACAGTTCAGGAATTTTTTTTTTAAATACATTTTGAGGGAACAGTTCAGGAAAATATTTGCAAAAATACAATTTTAAGTAACAGTTCAGGAAAAAATTTGTTTAAAAAATATATTTTTAAGGAAGAATTCAGGAATTTAAAAAAAAATACATTTTTAGGAAACTGTTCAGGAAAATATTTGCAAAAATACAATTTTAAGTAACAGTTCAGGAAAAACTTTGTTTAAAAAATACATTTTTAAGGAACAATTCAGGAATTTTTTAAAAAAATACATTTTTAGGGAACAGTTCAGGAAAATATTTGTAAAAAAACATATTTTTAAGGAACAGTTCAGGAATTTTTTTTTAAAAAAACATTTTGAGGGAACAGTTCAGGAAAATATTTGCAAAAATACAATTTTAAGTAACAGTTCAGGAAAAAATTTGTTTAAAAAATACATTTTTAAGGAACAATTCAGGAATTTTTTAAAAAAATACATTTTTAGGGAACAGTTCAGGAAAATATTTGTAAAAAAAAACATATTTTTAAGGAACAGTTCAGGAATTTTTTTTAAATACATTTTGAGGGAACAGTTCAGGAAAATATTTGCAAAAATACAATTTTAAGTAACAGTTCAGGAAAAAATTTGTTTAAAAAATACATTTTTAAGGAACAATTCAGGAATTTTTTTTTAAAATACAGTTTTAGTGAATAGTTCAGGAAAATATTTGTAAAAATACGATTTTAAGTAACAGTTCAGGAATTTTTTTTAAAAAAATACATTTTTGGGGAACAGTTCTGGAAAATATTTGTAAAAATTCATTTTCAGAGAACAATTTAGAAAAATCTTTATAAAAGTACTTTTTTAACTATCAGTTCAGGAAATTATTTGTAAAAATTCATTTTTAAGGAACAATATTTAGGAACATATATCTAAAAAACAATTTTCTGAAACTGTTCCTTAAAAATATTTTCAACAGTAATTGTAGTTTAGATATTTCTTTTATAATTATTTTTTTATCTTTGGAATTTAGGATTATAATATAAAATTCTGTTTAAAAAAAAAGAGATTTTCGAAAGAAGACACATTTTTCTTGTTTGTCGAAAAATTGTAGAAAAAAGTTAAAATCAGGGATTTAGTGGAAGAGGCTCGTGTGACACGAGCTCTTTCGCCTCGAGGACTAATTTCCATAAAGATTGCCGACCGAATTAATGTTTTCGCCTCCGCTTTATATGTTCACACACGAAACCGACAATGTGTGTGGCATCTCCTCTTAATAACTTAACTGACTATTCATTGATACTTTCATTCAGGGACGTGGCAATTTTTTTTTTTTACTTCTTTTTTTTCGACAAATTTCAAAAAAGTAGATTTTTATTCTAAATCTAAAATTCTATAATCTTCCTTCATTTTTATGTATAATATAATTTTTAATTAAATTAGAATTTAATTTTCATTATGAATATTGAAAAAAAATGTTTAAATATTAGTAAAATTAAATATTTTTATTAATATGTAGAATTTCCGTAATTAATTATGTTCATTAATTGTATTGTAGAATCACCCTAAATTTTTTAATTCGCATTTTAACTTTAATTTAAATGTAGAACCACCCTAAATTTTTTGATTCGATTTTTCACATTAATTTAATTGTAGAATCACCCTAATTGATATTAATTTTGTAGTTTTAATATTAATTTCATTGTAGAATTACCCAAAAAAAATTTTATTCGCTTAACATTAATCTAAGAAATCATCCTAATTGAGTTAAATTTTGTAGTAATTTGAATTTTAATATTAATTTCATTGTAGAATCACCCTCAATATTTTGTTTACTTTTTTAAATTAATTACATTGTAGAATCATCCTAAATTTTTTGATTCGCTTTTTGACATTAATTTAATTGTAGAATCACCCTAATTGAGTTAAATTTTAATATTAATTTAATTGTAGAATCACCCTAAATTTTTTGATTTTTTTAAGATTAATTTAATTGTAGAATCACCCTAAATTTTTTGTTTACTTTTTTAAATTAATTACATTGTAGAATCACCATAATTGAACTATATTTTTTAATCCTTAAATTATAGGAAAAAAATACTTTACTGAACGGTTCCGGAAAAATAGTAATTTTTACTATTTTCCTGAACTGCGAGTAAATTTGTTATTTTCAATATTGTCCGGAACCGCGCTCTCCTTAAAATGTGTATCAAAAAAAAAAAAAAAAAAAAAAAAAAAAAAAAAAAAAAAAAAAAAAAAAAAAAGAATAATTTTCCGCTTGATTACTGTAATTATTGAGTAAAACAAAAAATATTTTACTGAACCGTCTCCCGAAAATTGTAGTTTAAAATATTTATTTCTCTAATTTAGAGGATAATTTTTGCTAATTTTTTCTCGTAATTCTTTTTTGTTGCAGGTGGTTTGGCTGACCGCAATCCTGTGCCCGCGGCTCATTGCCGCCAATAATTTGACGCTCAACTTTTCTTCTCGCAGATCAAAAGAACTTCATTCTGGAGGTCACATCTCTCGTTGGTAAATGTCTTTTTTTTTATTTATTTTTTTTTTTTTTGCATTTTACTTTCAAATTTTTGAGTTTTACAATTTAAAAATTTTCTTCTCTTTTCCCATTAAAAATTTTTTCAAAATGAAAAAAAAACGATTTCAAAAAAGAAGAAAAGAAAAAAATTATTTTGAAAAAGAAGTTTTCAACAATTTTGATGAAATTTCTTTAAAAAATCATTATTTTCAAAATTTTTTTTTTAAATTTCAGTTTATCGAAAATTTAATTATTTATGAAAATAATTGAATTCTTGAATAGAATTTTATTAAAACTTTTTTAAATAATTGAATCCCCGTGAAAAAAATTTATTATTTCTGCCAATAATTGAATTTTTGCAAAATTTAAAAAAATAATTGAATTTTTGAGAAGAATTTTATCAAAATTGTATTTAAAATTTTTAAATAATTTAATTTTTGTGAAAAATTTATAATTTATTGATATAATTTAATTCTGAAGAAGATTTTTAAAATAATTGAATTTTCCCTGGAATTCAATTAAAATTGTATATTTAAAATAATTGAATTCCAGCGAAAATTTAATTACTTGAGAAAATAATTGAATTTTCTGAATAGAATTTTATTAAAAACCTTTTTTAAATAATTGAATCACTGTGAAGAAATTTATTATTTCTGCAAATAATTGAATATTTGCAAATTTAAAATAATGGATAAATTTTTTAGAAAAATTTATGGAAATTGTATTTAAAATAATTGAATTCTTTTATGAAATTTTATTAAAATTTTATTTAAAAATAATTGAAATACAACAAAAATTTAATTATTTATGAAAATAATTGAATTCTTCAATTAAATTTTATTAAAGGTTCAAACAAATTCAATTATTTTCAAAAGTTTTAATGAATTCTTCAAAAAAGTTTCAATTATATTTATAAATAGAAGAATTCTTTGCAGAAATTCAATTATTCAAAATAATTTTACAAAAGAATTTAATTTCTTTCTTAATTCTTAATAAAATCAATTATTTTCATAAATAATAAATTTCTTCTCAAAAAGTCAATTATTTTCATAAATAAAAAAATTCTTCTCCGGAAATTCAATTATTTTCGTAAATAAAAATAAAAAAATTCTTCGCTAGAAGTCAATTATTTTTGTTAATTTTATTAATTATTATTATTTATATTATTTATTATTTTGGTTAAAATTCGTCGAAAATAATAGAAATAATAGAAGAAAATAAAGAAAATCTTTGCAAAAAATTTAATTATTTTCAACAAAAAAAAATTTCACGAATGAATTCAATTTTTTTCTTAATTCGTTTATAAAATTTTTCAAAAGAATTCAATTATTTTCTGAAATTTTAATGAAATTCAATAATTAAATGTACAATTTCAATTATTAATAAAAACGATTATTTTTTAAACTTGAAAGAAATTGTTCATAAAATTCAATTATTTTCAAAATTTTCAATTAAAATTATTAAAGAAACTCCATTATTTAAAAAAAAAAATTTTCAATACAATTTTAATTAAATTTCTGGAAATAATAGAATTATCTTTAAAAATATTATTTAAATTCAATTATTTTTAATAATTTTAATAAAAATTCAATTATTTTCAACAATAATTCTGATAAAAAATTCTTTCGAAACAATTCAATTATTTTTGTAAATTTGTAAAATTCTAGGGAAGAATTCAATTTTATTTTTGTAAATAAGAAAATTCTTCTGAGAAATACAATTATTTTCAAATACAATTTTTATTATAAATTAAAAGGAAAAAATTCAATTATATTCAAGATTCAATTATTTTCCCAAAAATAATAAAATTCTTCGAAGGAAATTATTTTGAAAAAGAGGAAACAGAAAAATTTATTTTGTAAAAGAAAAAATAATTATTTCGAAAACGAAGAAAAAAAAAGAAAAAGAAAAAATTTTTTATACGAAAAAGAAAAAATAAATATTAATTCCAAAAAATTGGAGAAAAAGAAGAGAAAATTTTGAATTGAAAAAAATAATTTTTGAATTGCGAATGATTTAATTTTTCCAATTTTTCTTTTTTTTTCTTCGCTCTTTCACTCTCTCTCTCTGAAACTATTCTGGTTTAGGACAGAGCCTCAGGAGGAGGTGGCAATAAAACGTTTGACATATCGAGAGATGCAGAATATAATAAGAATGGAGGGTGGCGAGGATGGAGCTGCCGTCGATTGCTGTCCAACAATTGAGGAAATGTCGGAGCCAGTGGGCGGTCGAAATCGTCAAGATATGTACGTTGAGCTTTACCGTGATGGGGAAAATGTTCAGCGCTTCTTCGAGTACTCGTGCAGACCCGACGTCCTCGACAAGCCGTGCAGGTTCATTGACCGTAAATTAAGTGAACAATCAAGATGCGTGCAACAATTCTCCTATTCCTATGCCATCATTCAAAGTTCTGAACTTAAGGTACATTTTTATATTCAACCAAAAAAAAAAAAAAAAAAAAAAATTCCAACAATTGTTTTCCCTCCTTTCCTCTTTTTTCTTCGATCATCAAAAAAATTGAGAAAAAAGAAATGCAAAGAATGCAAATTACAGAATTTTTTATTTTCAAGATTTAAATTTTTGAATAATTTTATAATCAAAATTTAAAAAATTCGGTTATAAAGTAAATAATTGATTATTTATATTTTCAAAAATTTTAATATAATTCTTCGCAAGAATTCAATTATTTTTCTAATAAATAATAAAATTCTTCGGAAAAATTCAATTATTTTCCTAATAAACAATAAAATTCTTCGGAAAAATTCAATTATTTTCCTAATAAATAATAAATTTCGTCGAAAGAATTCAATTACTTTTCTGAAATTTAAATAAATCCATTGAAACAATTCAAATTTTTTTTTAAACTTAAGAAATTTCAATTATAATTCCAAAAATCAATTATTTAAAAAATAATTAAAATAATTTTAAAAGTGATTTAAACTTGAAAATTCAATTATTTCTAAAATTGTCTGTAAAATTTAATTTAATTCAATTTAATTCAATTATTTTCTAAAATTTTAAAGAATTCTTGGAAACAATTCAATTATTTTTGAAAATAATAAAATTCTTCGAAAAAATTCAATTATTTTTTAAATAATCAAATTCTTCGAAGGAATTCAATTATTTTCAAATATTTCTATAAAATTCTTCGAAAGAATTCAATTATTTTCTGTAATTTGAAGAAATTCATTGAAACAATTCAATTTTTTTTTAAACTTAAGAAATTTCAATTATAATTCCAAAATTCAATTATTTAAGGAATAATTAAAATAATTCTAAAAGTGATTTAAACTTGAAAATTCAATTATTTCTAAAATTGTCTGTAAAATTTAATTTAATTCAATTTAATTCAATTATTTTCTAAAATTTTAAAGAATTCTTGGAAACAATTCAATTATTTTTGAAAATAGTAAAATTCTTCGAAAAAATTCAATTATTTTTTAAATAATCAAATTCTTCGAAGGAATTCAATTATTTTCAAATATTTCTATAAAATTCTTCGAAAGAATTCAATTATTTTCTGTAATTTGAAGAAATTCATTGAAACAATTCAATTTTTTTTAAACTTAAGAAATTTCAATTATAATTCCAAAATTCAATTATTTAAAAAATAATTAAAATAATTGTTAAGGATAAAGGTCCGGATACGAAGCAATGACAACAAACTAATTAAACTTTAAGTTGAACTTTATTGCGGAAAATTACAAAGAGTCTTCAGAAAGATACTTTAGCAGGTTAGCGTGACTCTAAGCCAAAAAGGCGACTGTAAGAGCTCTATAAAGAAAACGGGAACGCGGACGCGTTGCACTCGGAAAATAAAAATGGAGACATCTGGTGTCAAGTATTCGAAAGGTTGGATCGTCGGTTTAGCCAACAATAATTCTAAAAGGAATTTAATCTAATAAATTTAATTATTTCTAAAATTGTCTGTAAAATTTATTTTAAAAAATTAATTATTTTCTAAAATTTCAAAGAATTCTTGGAAACAATATTCAATTATTTTTATAAATATTAAAATTCTTCGCAAAAATTCAATTATTTTAAAAATATTCAAATTTTTCAAAGGAATTTCATTTATTTTCAAATATTTCTATAAAAATTCTACTCAAGAATTCAATTATTTTCATAAATTCGAACATTTTTCTGAAAAAATCAATTATTTTTAAACTTAAATTTCAATTATAATTCCAAAATTCAATTATTAAAAAAATGATTAAAATAATTCTAAAAGTGAAATCACTTTTAATCTCAAAAATTCAATTATTTCTAAAATTGTCTGTAAAATTTAATTTAATTCAATTATTTTCTAAAAATTTTAAAGAATTCTTAAAAACAATTCAATTATTTTTATAAATAGTAAAATTCTTCTCAAGAATTTAATTATTTTCATAAATTCGAACATTTTTCTGAAAAATTCAGTTATTTTTAAAATTAAATTTCAATTATAATTCTAAAATTCAATTATTAAAAAAATGATTAAAATAATTCTAAAAGTGAAATTACTTTTAATCTCAAAAATTCAATTATTTCTAAACTTATCTGTAAAATTTAATTTAATTTAATTTAATTCAATTATTTTCTAAAATTTTAAAGAATTCTTGAAAACAATTCAATTATTTTTATAAATAGTAAAATTCTTGGCAAAAATTCATGTATTTTTAAAATATTCAAATTTTTCGAAGGAATTCAATTATTTTCAAATATTTCTATAAAATTCTTCTCAAGAATTCAATTATTTTCATAAATTCGAAATTTTTTTTTGAAAAATTCAATTATTTTTAAACTTAAATTTCAATTATAATTCCAAAATTCAATCATTAAAAAAATGATTAAAATAATTCTAAAAGTGAAATCACTTTTAATCTCAAAAATTCAATTATTTCTAAAATTATCTGTAAAATTTAATTTAATTTAATTTAATTTAATTATTTTCTAAATTTTTAAAGAATTCTTGGTAACAATTCAATTATTTTTATAAATACAAGTAAAACTCTTCGCAAAAATTCAATTATTTTAAAAATATTCAAATTTTTCAAAGGAATTGAATTATTTACAAATATTTCTATAAAATTTTTCTCAAGAATTCAATTATTTTCATAAATTCGTACAATTTTTGTGAAAAATTCATTTATTTTTATAAAAAGTGAAATTCTTTGCAAGAATTCAATCATTTTTCTTAAATTCTTCGAAAGAATTTAATTATTTTCTGAAATTTAAATAAATCCATTAAAACAATTCAATTTTTTTTTAAACTTAATAAATTTTAATTATAATTCCAAAATTCAATTATTTAAGAAATAATTAAAATAATTCTAAAAGTGATTTAATCTCAAAAATTCAATTATTTCTAAAATTGTCCGTAAAATTTAATTTAATTCAATTATTTTCCAAAATTTTAATGAATTCTTGGAAACAATTCAATTATTTTTATAAATATAGTAAAATTTTTCGCAAAAATTCAATTATTTTTAAAATAATCAAATATTCTTGAAAGGAATTATTTTTTTACTTTTTCGAAAGAATGCAATTGTTTTCTAAAATTATAAAAAATAATATAAAATAAAAAAATTGAATTTTAGAGAAGAATTTTATTATATTTATAAATAATATAAAAATTTCTTCGATAAAAGAATGAAAAACAAAAGAATTTTAATTAAATTAAAAAGACACTTTTTCATGCGGAAAAAAAAAGTTTAAGAAAAAAGAAAACTTTTTTTTTTTTATTAAAAATTAAAAATTTTTTTATTAAAATAGAAAATAAATTTTTCCAGGAGGGAGAACACACGAGGCATCATCATCGGCAACATCATTTTCCAGCGTTTCCCGGAAGTGCAGCGAGCGGCTCATCCTGGACATTGGACTACATTAAAGTACGAAGTGGTTGCAGCTGTGAAATTACGCCCAAACCGAAGAAGAAAAAATTCGCGGCAATGAAAGCCAAACGAACAAGAAGCAAATCGCGAATATCTCGTGACGACTTGAGTGATTAATTTCAGTTGATAATTAATTTATTCAATTATTAAATGTAATTTCATTTTCATTCGTTACTGTAATTAATTCAATTCATTTTCAGTAATTAATTCAACTAATTATGGCAATTAATTGAATTAATTACTGTAAATAATTTAAATTATTAAAATTATTAAAATAATTGAATTAATTGCAGTAATTGAAATTAAATTATTACAATAAATGAATTAATTGCAGTAATTGAATTAAATTTTTACAATAACTGAATTAATTGCAGTAATTGAATTAAATTATTACAATAACTGAATTAATTGCAGTAATTAATTGAATTAATTCAATTAATTCAATTAATTACGGCAATTAATTCAATTATTTGAATTAATTATGGTAATTAATTGAACTATGTAATTCATTTATTTTCGATAATTAATTCAAGTAATTCAATTAATTCAATTAATTCAATTAATTCAATTAATTCAATTAATTCAATTAATTCAATTAATTCAATTAATTCAATTAATTCAATTAATTCAATTAATTCAATTAATTCAATTAATTCAATTAATTCAATTAATTCAATTAATTCAATTAATTGATGCAATTAAAGAAATTAATTAAAAAACAAAAGAAAAAATGCTTCTCTCTGCCAAAAAGAAACAAACAAACAAAAAGACTATTATTTTCGCGATAGTGCGCTAATTTTAATATCGTCCTAATTATTATTATTTTTTTTTTATTTTATTTTATTCTATTTTATTATTTATACTCAAATTACATTGTGCGGCCAGTTTTTTTTTTCTACTACGAAAATCTAATTTAACCCTCTATCTTTATCTCCCCCTCGCCCATTACCCAAAATATTAAAGAAGAAATTATTTCCAGTGTACGAGAAAAGGGCAATTTTTTTGTTATGTAAATTTTATTAATTAACTTCTTACTTCTTACTTTTTTTTAAATAGAATTAGCAATTTTAAAAATGTAGAATTTAAAACTTTTTAATTCAAATTTTGTTTCATAAAAATAAAATATGAAATGGAATGAATAATTTCACTAAAATATTTCAAAATTAATTTAATTTTGAAATTAAATTTTAAAAGAATTGCGCTTACAATTTTCATAAATAAATGAACTTCGAACGATTTGAACTTGAATTTTTATAAAATTTAAATTTTAAATGAATTCAAATAGAAATTTTAATGTAACTTAGATTTTTCAAAAATTTTAATAATTCAAATTTTTCTGAAATTAGTTAATTCAAAAATTTTAATAATTCAAATTTTTCTGAAATTAGTTAATTCAAAAATTTTAATAATTCAAATTTTTCTGAAATTAGTTAAATTTTTTAATACTATATATATATACAATTATTAAAAATAATTGATTTATAAATCTATTATTTTTTTAAATTAAATTTTATTAATGTTTTTAACTAATATTCTTAACTAAAAAATTTAATTTTGGTGAGGTTACAAATAATTCCAGAAATTCAATTATTTTCCAAAGTAATAAAATTCTTCGCATAAATTCAATTACATTCGCAAAATTAAAAAAAAAAATTCTTGTCAAAATTCCAATTATCTTTATAAATAAGAGAAAATTCTTCTTCGAAATTCAATTATTTTCAAAAAATTTATAAAAATTCTTGGCAAAATTTCAAAAATTTTCTTTAATTCAATAATTTTTAATAAAAAATCTATTATTTTAATAAAATTTTCAAAAAAAAAAAAAAAAAATCAATTATTTAAGAAAAATGTTAATAAAAATTCTACGCAAACATTTCATTATTTTTTCATAATTAATAAAAATTTCACATGAATATTATTTAATTATTTACAAAAAATTGTTATAAATATCTTCGCAATAAATTAATTGAATTATTTTCATAAATAATCAAATTTTTTTTAAGGAATTCAATTATTTTCAAAAATAATCAAAATTTTTTTTTGGAATTCAATTTTTTTCTAAATTTTTAATGAATTCTTGGAAACAATTCAATTATTTTTATAAATACAGTAAAATTCTTCGCAAAAAATTAATTATTTTTAAAAATAATCAAATTCTTCGAAAGAATTCAATTATTTTCTGAAATTCCAACATTTTTCTGAAGACTTCAATTATTTTTATACAAAAACTAAAATTCTTTGCAGGAATTCAATTATTTTTTTAAATTATTCAATTATTTTTTTTTAAATTATTTCGAAAAAATTCAATTATTTTGTAAAATTTAAAAAATTTTTTGCAAACAATTCAATTATATTTATAAATATTAAAATACTTCTCTCAAAAATTTAATTATTTATATAAATAATAAAATTCTCAATTCAATTTTAAGAAACATTCAATTATTCAATAAATTATTTATTTGCATTTTATTTGTATTTATATATAATTGAATTCTCATAGAATTTTTTAATAAAAATTGATTTTAAAAGCATTGAAGCGTGAATTTTTAGAAATTATTAAAAATTAATTGAAAAAAATTTTAATGAAAGAGAAAATTTCACAAAGAAAAAATCGCCCTTTATGAAATTTTTTTACTTCTATTTTTTTCAGGTTCTTATATTTATTTATATAATCTGAAAAAAAATTTCCCTATTTTTATTAAAAAAAAAAGAAAAGAAAAAATATTCCAAATAATTTCAAAAAAAATACTACACTGGAAAAATTTCTCTTTTTACTTTATTTTTATAGAATAAAAACAAGAAAAAAAAATAGAGATCTTTGAAAACTCGTTACCAAGTGTGAAAACTGGATGTCGATTAAAAAAAATTGACAGAAAATAACCCCTTCTTCCCCTTCCCCTCCCCCCCTCGCATTATTAAGTATATTAAGTGTATAAAAAGTAAATTCACAAAAAAGGTCTCTATTTGACAAAATTCGTGTTCTAATTTATGTAAAAAAAAAAATAAAAAAAAAAAATACGCTCCGCTACATTAATTGCAGAATAGTCAGAGTCAACGAACAAGAAAAGAAAAAAACGAAAACTATAAATATTTCTATTTATATTCTGCGCTATTATTAATTATTATTAATGCAGAATAGTCAAAGTCAACGTAAAAAAAAAATAAAGATTTCAATTTTTGTATTTTCTGCTAACATTAATTGCAGAAAAGTAAAGTAAAATTTTCTATTTATATTCTGCTTAAAAAATTAATTGCAGAAAAGTAAAGATTTCAAAAATTTCTATTTATATTCTGCTAAAAAATTAATTGCAGAAAAGTAAAGATTTCAAAAATTTCTATTTATATTCTGCTAAAAAATTAATTGCAGAATAGTAAGAAAAAAAAGTAAAGTAAAGTAAAAATTTAAAATTCTATTTATATTCTGCTAAAAAAATTAATTGCAGAATAGATTGACAAAGGAAAAATAGAAAATTAATGAAAAAGAAAAAGTAAAGAAGGAAAATAAAGCCAAGTGCTTTTCAGCGTCATTGTTACTTTTTTTTTTTATTCGCTTTCTGTGTATATTATACAGCAAAATTCTAAGAAACTTAGACTTTCGCGATTCTGTACTGCCATGTAAACTTTGTACATAAAACGACAATTAACTAAGTAAACATCTTTTTTTTTCTTGTTTTTCTCTCTTTTTTTTTAATATACAAGAAATTTAATTTTTTAATTACATTCCTACAATTCCAACTCCTTTTTATTATATATACAAAATATAGTTTTTTTTTATTTCTCAACATCTATTTTTTGCGAAGAAAAATTCAATTCCGAATTTTTGCATTCTCATTTTTTCTCGGAGAAACATTTCGAAGTTTCTTTTTTTTTAAAGAAAGAAACATTTCAAAGTTCCTTTTTTTGAAAGAAAGAAGAATTTTAAGAGGGAGGATTTTTTTTCTCTCCTTTTCCTTTTCTTATTCCTTTTTTTTTTTTTTTTTTTTTTGAAAATTTGGGGAAAAAGTTTAGTAAAAACTATAATATTTGGAAAAGGGAAAAAACTTCAAATCCAATTTCTATTTATATTTATAGTAAATGGAAAAAATTAATCAACTTCTATTTTTATGGTAAATGGAAGAAATTATTAAAAAAAATTTTCCTTTTTAATAAAAATAGAAATAGTGCAACGATTTTCCACAAATCGGAATTTAATTCTACTTTCTTTGAAACGATTTTTTTTTACAAATCAATCGGAAAAAAAATTATTTCAGTTATTTCCGCATTGAAAATAATTTACTTTATCGAATTTTTAATAAATACTTAAATTTTATACACTTTTTTGTACAGTAAAAAGTAAAAAAAAGGAAAAATAAAGTAAAAACGAAAATAAACGAAAAAAAAACGAAAATAAAGAAAAAAACAAAAATAAAGAAAAAAACAAAAAAAAATGAAAAAAACAAAAAAAAAAATGAAAAAAATGAAGAAGAAAATAAAAAGAAAACAAAGGGAGAAAAAATAAAATAAAAAAGAAGAGAAGAAAAAAATAAATACCGTAATAAAGAGAAAAATAAAGTAAAAACGAAAATAAAAACAAAGAATGAAAAAAATTAAGAAGAAAATAAAAAGAAAGCAAAGAGAAAAAAAATTTTAAAAAAAGATGAAAAGATGAAAAGAAAAATTTTAAAAATAAATACAGTAAAAAAGAAAAAAATAAAGACAAAAAAAATAAAAATTAAATATGAAAAAAATGAAGAAAATAAATAGAAAACAAAAAGGGCAAAAAAATAAAATGGAAAGAAAAAACCAAAAAATTCACTTCAAGAATTTTATCAACATTTTTTTCAATAATTTAATTCATTCGAGAAAATGAAATTAAAATTTTATTGAAAATAATTTAATTCTCAGCAAGATTTTTATTAAAATTCTCTAAAATAATTGATTTTGTTTTGAAAAATTTATTATTTAATATTCTTGAAATTAATGAAGTTTTTTTTCAAGAAATTTCACTGGAAATTTTAAAAGTAATTGAATTTCATCAAGAATTCAATTATTCACAATAATTATAATGAAATTCATTGCAAAAATTTTTTCATCACAATTTTAATTTACTTCTTAAAAAATTTCACAATTACTTTTAAAAATCTTGTAAAAATACTCCGAGAAAATTCAATTATTTTACAAAAATAATTTAATTTTTCACATGAGTTCCATTTTTTTAAAAAAATCTAAATAAAATTCAATTATTTTCATAAATTATCAAATTTTCGCTGGAATTCAATTATTTTAAAATACAATTTTCATAAAATTATTTCGAAGAATTTTGTCTGAATTTTTGAAAATAATTACATTTTTTGAAGGAATTTTATTGAAAATTTTTAAAATAATGATTTTTTTAAAAGAATTTCATGAAAATTGTTGAAAACAATTGAATTTTTATTAAAACTCTTGAAAATAATTGAATTTAATTAATATTTTTAAAAATAATTGTATTCTTTCGAGAAATTTGATTAAAATTGTATTGAAAATAATTGAATTCTTTGAGATGAATTTTATTCTTTATGAGAATAATGAAATTCTTGCGAAGAATTTTATTCTTAACGAGAATAATGAAATTCTTGCGAAAAATTTTATGAAAATTTTGGAATAATAATAATCAAGAATATTTAATATTCTGTACTTAATAAGTGAATTTTTAAAATTCAAAATCTCTAATAATTCAAAAATTGATGTTCATTCTTGAAAATAGAAAATTTTTTAATTTACAAAAAATAATAGTTTAGAAAATGAAAGGGAAAAAGAAAAGGAGAAAATTTACATAACAATAGTTTAGAAAATGAATAGAGAAAAGAAAAAGAGAAAATTAAAAAAACCAATAAATAGTGAAAGAGAAAAATTCCAAAAGAAAATACCTTAAATATCATCACTGGTTTCGAACAAAAAAAAAATAAATAATTGTTTCTATCACAGAAAAAAATCGAGAAATACTCTTCATTTAAAAAAATCGGAAAAAATATCCGAGATATTGTATAAATTCAATAGTAATTTTCTTAGTAAACTTTTTACCTCTTTGCATGATGATGATGATAATAATGATGATGACGACGATGATAAAGAGAAATCGAGATCTTTTTGTAAAACGAAAATTATCAATTTCACGAGAATTGAAAAGAGAAATGTATCGGAAAAATTAATTCTCGGGAATATGATAATTTTAAGATCCATTTGTTACAATGTATAGAATATTAATTCGGGAATTTGTCCACTTTCAACGCATGTGCCATTATTGCCGCATGCCTCGAAATTAAATTGAAATTTCACTTTCTTCTGTCCCGAGTCACAGTCGACGGTTACTTTCCGAAGACCCTTTATTCCATAATGCGAATCCGGACCCTGAAAAACCAAAAAAGAAAATCAATTTCCTTTTTTCATATTATTATATGACAAAAATTTTAATCAAAATCTTCACAAAAAAAAAAAATTCAAATTGTATTCAAAAAAAATTTGTTTAACATTCTTCCGAAGAATTCAATTATTTTCAATTGTAAATAATAAAATTCCTCCCAAAATATTCAATTATTTTCAATATAAATAATAAATTTCTTCGAAAGAATTCAATTATTTTCAACAATTTTAATAAAATTCATGACAAAATTCCAATTATTTTTTCAAAAACTTTCCTCCAATTCAATGATTTTTAATAAAATTAAACTTCCTTTAATAAAATTTACTTTAATAAAATTTTTCAAAAGAATTCAATTATTTAAATACAAATTTAAATGTAAAAACGCAAATAAATAATTTATTGAATAATTTAATGTTTCTTAAACATTAATTCTCATAAAGAATTTTATCAATAAATTTTTAAATAATTGCATTCCTTTGACGAACTTTAATAAAATTTTTAAGAATAATTACATTTTTCCAGGAATTTCAAGAAAATTCTATTAAAAAGTAATTGAAATTCTGCGATCAGTTTTATTGATGAAAATAATTGTTTTTCTAAAAAGAATTTCATTATTTTTTGAAAATATTTAAATTTTTGCGTAGAATATTATTAAAATTGTTTTTAAATAATTTAATTCTTTTGGAAACGTTCATTAAATCAGTAGATATTGAAAAATCATTTAATTGAGCAAAATTTTTGAAAATTGAAATTTTGACAAGAATTTTATTAAAATTGTTTTTAAATAATTGAAATTTTCGAAGAATTTTATAATTTATCAAGAGAATTGAAATTTTGACGAAAATTTCTCAAAAAATTTTTGAAAATAGATGAAATTTTGACAAGAATTTTATTACATTTTTTGAAGATAATTGAAATTTTCCAAGAATTTTATAATTTATGAAAAGAATTGAAATTTTGACGAAAATTTTTAAGAATAATTGAAATTTTGACAAGAATTTTATTACATTCTTTGAAAATACTTGAAATTTTTGAAAAATTTTATAGTTTATAAAGAGAATTGAAATTTTGATTTTGAAAATAATTGAAATTTTGACAAGAATTTTATTAGAATTGTTTTTAAATAATTAAAAGAATTTTATTACATTTTTTTAAAAGTAATTGAAATTTTCGAAGAATTTTATAATTTATAAAAAGAATTGAAATTTTCGAAGAATTTTATAATTTATAAAAAGAATTGAAATTTTGACAAGAATTTTATTACAATTCTTTGAAAATACTTGAAATTTTTGAAAAATTTTATAGTTTATAAAGAGAATTGAAATTTTGACGAAAATTTCTTAAAATTTTTGAAAATAATTGAGATTTTGATAAGAATTTTATTAAAACTGTTTTTAAATAATTGAAATTTTCGAAGAATTTTATAATTTATCAAGAGAATTGAAATTTTGACGAAAATTTCTCAAAAAATTTTTGAAAATAATTGAAATTTTGATTAGAATTTTATTACATTTTTTGAAAATAATTGAAATTTTCAAAGAAATTTACAATTTACAAAGAGAATTGAAATTTTGACGAAAATCTCTTAAAATTTTTGAAATTAATTGAAATTTTGACTAGAATTTTATTACATTTTTTGAAAATAATTGAAATTTTCAAAGAAATTTACAATTTATAAAGAGAATTTAAATTATGACGAAAATTTTTGAAAATAATTGAAATTTTGACAAGAATTTTATTAGAATTGTTTTTAAATAATTGAAAGAATTTTATTACATTTTTTTTAAAGTAATTGAAATTTTCGAAGAATTTTATAATTTATAAAAAGAATTGAAATTTTGACAAGAATTTTATTACATTCTTTGAAAATAATTGAAATTTTCGAAAAATTTTATAATTTATAAAATATATTTTTGAAAATGTTTCAAATCAAAATCAATTAGAAAATTTGAACTTTTCATACTTTTAATTATTAATAATTCTGATTTTTGAAAATAATATTGAATTCTTGCGGAGAATTTTATCAATTTTGAAAATAATTGAATTCATGCGTAGAATTTTGTCAAATTTTAAAATTATTTGAATTATTTCGAAGAATTTTATTCAAATTTTTTTTTGAGAATAATTGAATTTCTATGCGAATAATTTTTTTTATCTATAAAAATAATTAAATTCTTGACAAGATTTTTTAAAGGAAATTTTTTTTTAATTATTTAAAGTTTTTAATTTCTAATATTTTTCATTGAAGAATGTCAAAATAATCGAAATTTTAGGTAAAATTGAAATGTAAACAAATGGATTTAAAAATTCTCAAAAGAAGAACTTTTTTCAAAAATTATTTAAAAAAAATTGTTTTCAAAAAGAATTTTAGTTTAAAATTCCGGAAATGAAGAATTGAATTGAAATGAGGAAAAGCGTGGCAACCCTGTAAATAATAAAATTCCTTCCAAAAGATTTAATTATTTTCAATATAAATAATAAATTTCTTCGAAAGAATTCAATTATTTTCAGATATACAATTTTAATTTAATTTTCTAGAAAATAAATAAAATTTATATTTATTTCCATATATAAACGGGCAGGAAGTTCGTAAAATGAAAAAATGGAATAAAAATAAATAAGAATGGAAATAATAATAAAATAAAATATAAAAATAGTATAAAAATAAATAAGAATGGTAATAATAATCTTAATAATAATAAAAGGAATTTCGAGACTCACGTCGAATTTGGCAGAAGCCGTGTAAACTGTATTTGGCAAAATTTCAATTGGTTCCTTGAACATAAGACGATAAGTGTAATTCGAGCCATCGCAGCTGAAACTAGTTGAATTTGATGCAATAATTTTCCCCGAAGCCGTGTGAATTAATTCAATAATCACATCGTATTCGGCTGGATCGTTGAAACTCCCATAGACTCCATAGCCGACTAGGAAAATTTTTCTATCCACCGAAAATCTGCGTAAGAAACAAAAAAATCGATGATTTTATTTTATTTTCTCTTTCGAAAAAAAAAATATAAAAAGAAATTAAACCTGATTCTGTCGCTTATTCCTTTGTAACCCCATTTAACTTCGGTTTGTTGAAAACGACAGACAGTTTGTTCCTTGCCCATCATTCGACAACGGGGCATCGCTTCAAATCCAACTCGTGGTTTTGGATTCAGAATGAAGTACAAAAATAAGGAAACAACCTGAAAAGTAAAAGGAAAAATTGATTATTAATTAAAATTAAATAATTAAATAATTTATTTATTTTCCAGAAGTAAAACGAGAAAATTCAGGTAAAAAAAAAATGAATAATCAAACCTCCTTGTCAGTTAAGAGTCCAGATTGAGCTGGACCACTGGCGAATTCCTCCATTGACATCAGAGGAAATCTAACCAAGGAGAGAGCTCGTCCTAATACTGATCGTTGATTATCCGGAGTCACAGGAAGTTGTTGCCTCACACATTCCGCCTCTGACCATCTGATTATTAAACGAAAATTATTCATTCAATAATTAATTATTTATTATTATGCAAATTACAAAATTTTTTTCTTTTCAAATATGAATTTTTGAATAATTTGAAATTTTAGATTAAAATTTTTAAAAAATTTAATTATTAACTAATTTACTAATTAATTATTCTTGTTTTATAACTTCCAAAAATTTTGGAAAAATTCTTCGCAAGAATTTCAATACAATTTTAATTAAAACTCATGAAAGAATTCAATTAAATTTCTACTAATTTTTTATACAATTTTTTTGAAAGAATTCAATTATTTACTAAACTTCTAATAAATTCTTGGAAACAATTCAATTATTTTTTTAAATAGTAAAGTCTTTGCAAACATTCAATTATTTTTAAAACGTTTAATAAATTTCTTGAAAAATATTCAAACATCTTTAAAATTTAAGAATTTTGAATTATAATTCTAAAATTCAATTATTTAAAAAATAATTAAAATAATTCTAAAAGTGATTTAATCTAAAATTCAATTATTTTTTAAATTGTCTGTAAAACTTTTTCAAAAATTCAATTATTTTACAAAATTTTTAAGAAATTTCTAGTTAAATATTAAATTATTTTCTATAAAAATTATAAAATGACACAATTTGTTTATAAAAATTTAATTATGTCAACTTTTTAATAAAATTCAATTATTTTCATAAATAACATTCTTTGGAAGAATTCATTTATATATTTTTATTTATTCATTTATTTTATAAATAGTAAAATTTTTTGCAAAAATTCAATTATTTTCTATACAATTTGAATAAAATTTCAGGAAAGAATTCAATTAAATTTTTTCCAATTTTTAATACAATTTTTCAAAAGAAAAAAAGAATTCATATATTTTCTAAACGTCTAATAAATTCTTGGAATTAATTTAATTATTCTTTTAAATAGTACAGTTATTGCAAACATTTAATTATTTAAAAAAAAATTTTGATGAAAGAATTCAATTTTTTTTTCTTAATTCGTTATAAAATCTTTGCAAAAATTGAATTATTATCAACAAAAAATTTCACGAAAGAATTCAATTTTTTTTTTCTTAATTCATTAGAAAATATTTCGAAAAAATTCAATTATTTTTATAAATAAAGAAAAATTCCTCTCCGGAAAATCAATTATTTTCGTAAATAAAAATAATCAAATTCTTCGCTGGAAGTCAATTATTTTTGTAAATTTTTGTTAAAATTCGTCTATAATAAGAATAAGAATAAAGGAAATAAGAAAATAAAGGAAATCTTCTCAAAAAAATTCAATTCTTTTCGTAAATATTAAAATTCTTTGCCAAAAATTCAATTATCTTCTTAAATAATAAATTACTTTGCAAAAATTAATATAAATAGTAAAATCGTTTGCAAAAATTCAATTATTTTTAAAAACAATTTTAGAATTAGAATTCAATTTTAATACAATTTTATAAAAAAATTCTATTCATTTTTTTAATTTTTAATAATATTTTTCGAAAAATTCAATTATTTTCTAAAATTTTAATAAATCCTTCAAAATAATTCAATTGTATTTATAAATAGTAAAATTCATTGCAAAAATTCAAAAACTTGATAGAAATTGTTCATGAAATTCAATTATTTTCAAAATTTGTAATTCAAATTATTAAAAAAAACTCCAATATTTAAAAAAAATATCTAAAGAAATTCTTCAAAAAGAATTTAATTAGAATTTTCGAAAATTTTAACAATATTTTTGTCGAGAATTCAATTAATTTCCTAAATAATGAAATTCTTCGAAGTAAAAAACATTGGAAAACGAAAAAAATGAATTTTATTCAATATTTTTATCCGATTTTAACTAATTTTATTCGTTTAAAAATTTTTTGTTTGTTTTCAATTATTTTGTGTTTATTTTAAATTTTTTTTTTATTACTTTTCAATTTATTCATTTATTTTCGATTTTTTTTTCGTTTTCAAATTTTTTATTCCAGTAAAGAAATTCAATCTAATTTTTTTTTTTAATTGAATTAATTTTAGTCGTTTTTAAAATTTTTTTACTTGAATAAGAATATTTAAAACCATTAAAAAAGAAATTGAAAACGAAAAAAGAATTTTGGAATTTGAAAACTAATGAAAATATTAAAAAGTAAAAACAAATAAAACAAACTCAAAACGAATGTAAAATTAATTTGAGTTGATTAGAAAATTAAAAAATAATAAAAAACTATTTTTATTCGATCAAAAAAAATTGAAAAACAAAATTGAAATTAATTCGATACGAATTTGAAAAATTGGAAAACGAATCAGAATAATTTTATTCGTTTTCAATTTTTTTTTAATACGTTTTCAATTCGAATCAAATTAATTTTATTCGTTTTGAAAATTAGTTTAATTTGAATAGAAAATTTAAAACGAATAAAATTAAATTTATACAAGCAAAAAATTGAAAAGCAAAGAAAACTAAATGAATTTGAATAAAAAAATGGTAAAAACAAATAAAAATATTGAAAACGAATAAAATTAAATTTGTTCCAGTAAAAAAATTGTACAATGAAGAAAAATGAATTTAATTCGAATAAAAAATTAGGAAACGAATAAAAACATTGATAACGAATAAAAAAATTGAAAAAAATAGAATTAATTGGATTAATTTTTCTTGAGAAAATTATAATTTTATTATTTTTCTTATTGTTTATTAAAAAAAATATTTTATTTTTTTATAATTTTTGTTTTATATGTTTTTTCAATTCTTTTCGCAAATTTTTGTTTTTTTCTGTTGGAATACTTTTCATAATTTCATAAATTTGAGAATGAATGAAATTAATTTTACACGAATAAAAAGTTGAAACGCGAATAAATTTAGATTTCTCCGTTTTTTCAATTTTTTTTTTTTTTTTTTGCTTGATTGAATTTAATTTCATTCGTTTTCAATTTTTTATTTGTGCGTAAAAACAAAACAAAAAAAAAAAAAAAAAAATTATAAAAAAAAAAATAATTCCATGTTGAGTTTCATGTTAAGAAAAAAAAATTATTTATTTTTTTTTTATTTTTTTTTTTTTTGTGTCTTTTTGATACTTTCTCCGTAAAAATTCACTTTATTTGCATTTCAATTTGTTTCTTTTTATTCGAATTGAATTAATTTTAGTCGTTTTTTAATTTCTTTACTCGAATAAGTAAATTGACAATGAATAAAAAAAAATTGAAAACGAATAAAAATTTATAATTTTTTCTTTTTTATTCGAATCGAATTAATTTTCTTTGCTTTTCAAATTCTTTTCTTCAATTAAATTTATGTAATTTCATTTTCGATTTCAAATTTTTCAATAGAATTGAATTAATTTTCTTTCATTTTCGAGTTTCTTTTTTATTTTAATAAAAAGCAAAAAAAACTTGCCTGCCGACCGCCTGAAAAATCTTCGACTCTCTAACTCTCAACGTGTCCCTCTCAAGAACAACAATAAGCGTCTCAATATCAATATCCGTGAATCCATCGGCATTTAACGCGTCGTTCGTCGATTTATCAATAATATCCAAACAAACAGCCGCCAATTGTGGCTCATCGAACAATCTCGCTTGCGCCAACAGTAAAAATGCATTATCAGTCGTTAAATTATTGCGTAAAAAATCAACGCAATGCTTCTCGAGCGGTGAGACGGCATATTTTTTCGCCGTATAAAGAGTTGTCATCACATTCTCAGGATCAATTTGTATTTCGTCCGTGTAGAGGAATAGAAGAACGGCAAGAAATGTGGCGGGCTCAACGTCGGGCACTTCAATTTCCACCGAAGCCGTTGCCAATGTTCCATTGAACATTGCATCGAATACGGCGCTGCCCGATGATAATACCAATTTATGTGCGGGTATCGATTGTTGTTGTGCACCACGTCCAACGAGGAAACGTACGTCCGACAATATTTCGTTATTAAAGAGAAATGCAAATCTCTCGCGCATCGTTGCCTTTGTTCCTTGCCAATTGTACGTGGCTGGCGGTCGTTGAATTGTTATTATTCCATTCTCGACGACGGCATTTTGTGCTCTTGATTCCGATTGGGCGTTCAGTGTGTTCCGAGGCGGTCGTCTTTTTTTGGAAAATGAAAACAAACATTTTTTTTTATTAATTAAATTAAAAAATATAATTTTTAGTGTTTTTTTTTAATTATTTATTTAAAATGTCACCGAGGTAAAAAAAACCCGCGATTTTAATGACTTTTCTTTCATTCTTTCGTTTCAAAAAAAAATTTATATACAAGAAAAGTGCAATTAACAAAAAATACAACAGAAAATACAACAAAAATAAAAAAAACAACAACAAATACAACAAAAAATACAAAAAAAAACAACAAAAAATTACAAAGCAAAAATTATAAAAAGAATTACAAAATAAAATACAAAACAAAAATTATGAAAAAAATTCCAACAAAAAAATTTATTTAATAGTTTTTTCAATTTTCTTTATTCGTCTCCAAATTTATTTATTCAATTTCAATTTTTTTTTTTATTCGTTTTCAAATTATTTATTCACTAGCAAATGTATTCCATTTATTATTATTTTGTAAATTAAAGAATTTTCTATTTTCAAGAATAAACATCAATTATTTTTCAAAATATTATTTAAAATCAAATATTTTCAAGAAATTTTTAATAAAATTCCTTCAAAATATTTAATTATTTTCAAAAATTCAGATAAAATTCTTCGAAACAATTCAATTATTTTTATGAAATTGTAAAATCCTAGGCAAGAATTTAATTATTTTCGTTAATAAGAAAATTCTTCGCAAGCATAAAAATATTTTCAAGAATAAGAAAAATCTTCGCAAGATTTCAATAATATTTTTTAAATTTTAATAAAATTCTTAGAAGATGTTCAATTATTTATATAAAATTGAATCAAATTCTTCCGAAAAATTCAATTCTTCTAATAAATAAAAAAATATCTTCACTAAAATTCAGTTATTTTCACAAACAATAGAATTCTTAGCAAGAATTCAATTTTTCTAAAATTTGAATTATTTTATTGAATTATTCAATTATTTTTAAAAATTTATATGAAATTCTTCCCCAAAATTCAATTATTTTCAACAATTTTGATGAATTTTTTTTAAAAAAATCATTATTTTCAAAATTTGTAATAAAATTCATTCAAAAAATTCAATTATTTTCAAAAATTCAGATAAAATTCTTCAAAACAATTCAATTATTTTTATGAATTTGTAAAATCCTACAAAAGAATTCAATTGTTTTCATAAATAAGAAAATATTTCTGAGGAATTCAATTATTTTCAATACAATTTTAATAAAATTTCTAGAAAGAATAGAATTATTTTTAAAAATATTATTTAAATTCAATTATTTTCAATACAATTTTAATAAAATTTCTAGAAAGAATAGAATTATTTTTAAAAATATTATTTAAATTCAATTATTTTCAAGAGTTGTAACAAAAACTCAATTGTTTCCAACAATTCTGATAAAAAAAATTCTTGGAAACAATTCAATTATTTTTTATAAATTATGTAAAATTCTTGTCAAGAATTCAATTATTTTAATTGTAAATAATAAAATTCTTCTGAAAAATTCAATTATTTTCAGATACAATTTTAATAAAATTTCTACAGAAAAAAATTCAATTATATTCAAGATAATTTTAATGAAATTTCTCTAACAGATTCAATTATTTTTAAAAATTGTAATAAAATTTTTCCAAACAATTCAATTGTTCTCAAAAGTTTTTAATCAAAATTCATTGTAAATTTCAATTATTTTCAAAATTTTCAATTAAAATTACTTTAAAAAATGTAATTATTTTTACGAAATTTAATGAAAATCTTAAACAAAAATGAAATTATTTACAAAAACTCCAAAAAAATTGTTTAAAAGAATTTAATTTTCTATGAATAATTTTAATACAATTCAATAGTAAAATCGTTAATTACAATTAATAATAAACACGATTATCTTGAAAACTTAAAAGAAATTCTTCGTAAAATTTAATTATTTTCAAAATTTTCAGTAGAAATTATTTTTAAAAAATTCATTATTTTCAAGAATATTGAACAAAATCCTTGAAAACAATTTCAATTATTTTAAAGAATTTTAATAAAAATCTTGCCAAGAAGTAAATTATTTTCAAATTCAATTTAAATTACAATTTTCTTGAAAGAATTTAAATATTAAAAAAAATGTTGATAAATCTCTTGAAATGAATTTAAGTATTTTCAAATTTTTTTTTATAAATACTTTAGAAGAATTTAATGATTTTCAGTACATCGACAATTTAATTATTTCTGAAAATATTTTAAATTCTTAAATAGAATTTTATTAAAACATTTTTAAATAATTGAATCCCTGCGAAAAAATTAATGATTTCTGCAAATATTTTTAAATTTTTGCAAAATTTAAAAAAAATAACTGAATTTTTCAGAAGAATTTTATTAAAGTTGTATTTAAAATAATTGAATTCCAGCGAAAATTCCATTATTTATAAAAATAATTCAATTAAAAATAATTGAATTATATTACAATTTTTTTAAAATAATTGAACTCCTGGGAAAAATTCAATTATTCTTTAAAATAATTGAATTTTCTCAGAGAATTTTTACAAGATTCGAGTAAAAAAATTGAAAATTTGATTTGTATAAAAAAAAGTGGAAAACCGATAAATATTATGATTACAAATAAAAAAACTTGAAAACGAATAAAATTAGTTTGAATCGATTAGAAAATTGGAAGCAAATAAAAGAAAATTTAAAGCGAATAAAATTAATAAGAATTTATTAGAAAATTAAAAAATAATTAAATTATTTTCATTCGATCAAAAAAAATTGGAAAACAAAAAAAATTAATTCGAATCAAATAAAAAATTTGAAAACAAATCAAAATCATTTACATATTTCGTTTTCAATTCAAATTAAATTAAGTTCATTCGTTTTCAATTTTTTTTTTTTATAACAATAAATTTATTTTTGAATCGTTTTTAATTTTCTTATTTAATAAATAATTTTAAAAAAGCGACTAAAATTAGTTGAATTCTAATAAATAAATAAAAACAAATAAAATTAATTTTATGTGAATAAGAAATTGAAAATTGAAATTAAATTAAATTTTTCCAGTAAAAAAAAAAAAAATTGAAAACGAATACGACGAAAAAAAAGAAAGAAAAGTGAAAGGAAAAATTTGAAAATTACTCCTCAGCATTTGATGACGATGCCTCGCCATGTCTTGATGCCAATGAAGGTCCTTGTTCTTCATCGATTGAAAATGTAAGCGCACGTCTTGCTCTTGAAATCATAATATTTCCAGGCGGTTGCATATTGTGCGGTGAATCTGTCGACGTTTCATTTTCCACTTCCAATCTTAAATGATGTAATCTTGCAACAGCTCCGGAAATTTCCTCTCCTGGAGCTTCTGACATTTTTTTTTATTTATCTCTTTATTCTTTTCCTGTTTTTTTATTTTTTGGTTTTCGTAAATTTTTAGTTCTTAATTTCCATCATTTTATTTCCTTTATATTTTCTAAATAATCTGCTGAACAAAACAAAATTCATTAACTATTTAAATTAAACATTTCTAATGAAGTTTGTTAATAAATAAATAAATAAATGAATAAACAAAAAAATAAAAAATAATTCAATTCTTTCACCTTTAATATTAAAAAATAATTCAATTTTCGAAAGAAAAATAAAGAAAGAAAAGAGAAAAAATTAAATTTTTCTATAAAAAAAACAACGTTTTTCTTGGGGAAAATATTAAAAACGGTAAAAAAACAATAATAAATTATATTATTTATTATTAATAACAATGATAATAATTTATTAATAATAATTAATAGGCTTTTTTCTAATTAAATAATAATGATAATGACAAAAACATAACGAACATAACCTCAAAAAGTGGAGACAAAATTTCTCTTCGTATTTCTTTTAATTATTATATATTTATTCTTTTATTTCAATTATAATACTATTTTCTATAATTATTAATAATAAAAAAGAAACAAAACTAAAAAAAAACAAAACTTCTGGAGACGAAATTTCTCTTATTTCAAAACGTTTCAAAACAAATGTAAATAAATATTTTACTATTTTCATCTTCGGTGTTAATTTCCTAAAAAATGTTAGTTACCTTTTAGAATCATACCGAATATATTTAAACAATATATTAAATAAATTAATTAATTTTTCCTTTTTTTTTTGACAGAAAATAACATAACCTTTCAAGGACATAATAATAAATATGAATAAATATATATATTCGAAAGATAAAAAAATGTCAAACGAGGATTTCTACAGATTTGAAACTAATTTTCATAAATAAATTAATTACCAACAAGTAATATTAATTATTTTCCATTTACGTAATTGAATTATCCACCGTATCCACCTTTTATTTTAAAATTAAAAACAATCAATATTAAAAGACGTGCGTATATGTCAAATGTCAGAAAAAAAGTAAATAAATAAATATTAAAAACAGTACTTACATTCATTTGACAGAATAATAAGAATTTAAACGATTTACACATTTCACATAATTTCTTTTTCTTTTATTATTGTAATTATTGAAAAAAATATTAGGAGAAAACACTTGAAAAATTGATAAACTTGAAGTGACTTGAAAAAAATTAAAAATCAATTGTTGAAAATGTAGAAAATTTTGCAGGCTGTCATCATTTTGTCCACAATGGCGCAATTGGACAAATTCCCAGAAAGCGCGGGAAAATTTAAATTTCAAATAAAAAAAATTTTCAATGTAATTTGTTTTCTCCAAAAGATATTGTTAAATAAAATTATTATTAATTGTTCCTGACATTACTATTGCTTTTATTTATTTTATTATCATTATTTGTTTAAGTAGTTTTTCTTAACCATTTTCTTAATATTAACAATTTTGTTTTGATTTACAATTATTATTTTATTTCCAATTTTTATTATTGTTGTTATTATTTTGTTTTCTATTTTTATTGTTGCTCTTATTTTTTCTATTTTTTTATGGTTACTAATTACTATTTTTTTCTCTTCTTATTGTTGCTATTATTACTTTTTTATTATTTAATTAGTCTATATTATTTATTATTATTATTATTATTATTATTATTATTATTATTATTATTTATTATTATTACAATTATAATTATTGTTATTAAATTCATTTTCTATTATTTATTATTTTTATTAATATTATTATCGCTGAAAAAAATTATAATCGCGCCAAGATTCGAACCATTGACTTAGAGATTACGAGTCAAGAACATTAACCACTAGACTAAGAACACTATACTTTATTATTGACATTATTATTTCATTTTCTATTATTTCTTTTTATTATCGTTATTATAATTATACTAATATATTCAATATTTTATTTCCCCCCTCCCCCCTTTTTTTCTTAATTTTTACAATAATTTAAAGAAAAAAAAAATACAATTTTTCTTTATTATTGTTATTATTTTTTATATATTTTCTATTTACTTTTTTTTATTGTATTATATTTATTTTTTAATTATTTTAGATTCCCCCCCCCTCCCCCTTAATTTATGTAATTAAAAATTTTTTTTCTTTATTGTTGTTATTATTATTATTAATTTTTTATCTATTATTTATTTTTATTATTCTTGTTATTATTATTATTATTTATTTTTCAATCCCCCCCTCCTCCCCCCATTTTCTTAATTTTTACAATTAAAAAAAAGAAAAAAAAATACCATTTTTCTTTATTATTTATTATTTCTTATAAACTTCCGACAAGTTTGAAAAAGAATTATTTAGAAATTTCCTTGAACTCTTTGTTCTTCATGACTGATCACGAAATTTTTCCGGTATTTTCCTCTCTCTCTCTCTCTTACACTTGCTGATTATTGGCATTTTTTTAATAGTCAAATTAGAAGGAAAAAAAAATTGCTAACGTGTAAAAAAAATGATTGGAAACAATTAAGAATTCTTTTTTCTTTTTGCACAAAAAAAATTGGTTAATTTCAGCCCCTTTAGAATGTTAAATTCTCGACACGGGTGTATAAAAATTATTTTTTTGCCATCAACGTAAATATTTTTTTTCTATTCATTTTTTTTTTTTTGCGCATTTTTTCGAATTAATTTTTAAGGAATATTTTTATAGGATTTAGACAATTTTGTTAGGATTTTTGTTTTTTGGAGGGGACACACAGGAAGTTAATATAATTAAAACACCTTGTCCCTGAAAGAGGCGCGAGTCGATTTTCAGGGTTATTACTTTTGAAAAATTCCACTTTATACCTCCACTACTTGGATTTTGTTTCTGAATAAATTCAATAGACACTAGATTGATTCGCATCAGTTTCTCACTTGATTTTTTGGTTAAAAGTGCTCTCTACTTGTCGTATTTTAAATTTAAGATTTTTGTTTTTTTGTGAATTGAAAAACTTTGTGTTTTTTGCTGATAAGAAGGATCCTCTGTCGGTATTGCAGTTTCCTGACAAGTCGTCGTCTTCCTCCCCCCATCCCTTTTTTCGTCATCAAAAAAGAAGAACAAAAAAAAACTCTCTTCCCGCCTCTCCACATACATCGGGGGACAAAAAAAAATATCGTTACAGGCGCAACAATTTAATTCAATCGGTAAAAATGGGAAAAATTCATGAAAACTACTTCGATTTTGCAATTTTTTTAATTCTTTTATTTTTATAATTTTTATTCTTTATCATACATTATTTTAATAGAGTTGAAAGCAGAGAAGGATAAAAAAATAGTGGGGACATTTCCCCAGGCACTATCACTCTCTCTCTCTCTTTCTTTCTCTTTCTCTTTAAATTATTGTTTCCTAACCTCAAAATTCCTCGTGGACGCGCCGCGCGGGGACGAGAGAAAGAAAAAGCGATAGTCCCATTACGTTTTTTGACAGCTAAAAATACAGTAGTTTTTCCATGACGGTATAAAACTTTAGTGACCGAGTATCGGTATCTATTTTCGATTTGCCAACCAAGTTGCATCTTAATTTACAATTTTATTAATGTTTCTCCACGTTCGTTTCGTGTTTCGTTGTGCGAGGGAATCGGAAAAGTAAAAATCGCGGACAAAACTAGCAGACGCTTATTTTGTCACAGGTTTTCTTTGAAAAAATTATTTTCTCCTTTTTTTCTCATCAATAGTTATTTATAAAGTGAAAAAAAGAAAACTTTTGCCTAAAAACTGTTTTTTGTTTCCAGTGATTTTTAACTTCCGAGTCGTGCGTTTATACGAAAGTCGAAAATGCGAAAAATTGAATTTTGAGGTTATATTTCGTGTCTGTTTTTTTCTCGCATTTTAATATATAAATGAAAAAGTGATATGATGAATTTGAAAAAAAGTGTCAAATTTTGAAAAGTGACTGAGAACAATTGTACGTATATTGTTTATTTCTTCGTTTCTTTTCAATTTTCTCTTCTTGTTTATTTTCGCTTTTTTAATTTTAATAGAGTAAATATTGAAAAATCGGAAATATAAGTATAATTTTAACGGAGTGAAATTTCGCAATCATTTTTGTCCTGTTTAGTGACCTTTTAAGGTAGTTTGGATCTTAAAATATACACACACTTTTCTTATCGGTTTTTGAAAATTCCTCACGCGAGTGTAAATAATAATTAATTTTAGAGTTTTTTTTCGTGTACCAAAAAAGGGGGGGAAACAATTTTTTTTTCTTTTCGTAATTAATTTTTTTTTCTCTCTCTCTCTTGCAAAATTGATAGCGTGTCACGTGCTTGCTTGAGGCTTTAAAACATATATATTTCGACATAATTGTTATTTTTTTCCCCCGGTTTTTGTTTGTTTTGAAAAATTTACTTGACGTGTTGTGTATTTACCTTTTCTTTAAATAAACAAAAAAAAAATGAGGGAGAAAATGTTTGCAATATCGATCACGATTTGTGATTGATAATTTTAATTAAATATTTTTTTAAATTGTACGGATTTTTATAATTTCCGTAATTTTAATTATGGAAAATTAAAATTTTTTACAATTTTTTAATTTTAAAAAATTTTTCAGTTTTGTGAATTTTTAAATTATATTGAAATTTATTGAATTTTTCATTTCGCTTTTGTTTATTCTTTGTTACTATAAATTTTTTTTATGCTCGTTCTGAGAACTAATTTACACTGTCAATAATTTTATCGACAATCATTAAATTTCACGAAACATGTGTTGCTCGTTAGAAACAAGAAAATTTATAATTTTTTTTTTAATTCTAAAATTAAATTAAATTAAAATATTGTAAATTTTTTAAATTGAATAGTTTTACACTAAAATTTTCATTTTTTTCTCCATTTTATTAGAATTTTCTTTAATTTTTCTCTTTTGAATTTCAATATTTTTAGAATTTTTTGGAATAAAATTTATTAACTTCCAATATTTATAGAATTTTTTAGAATAAAATTTATTAAATTTCAATATTTTTGAAATTTTTAACAAATAAAATTTTTGAATTTCAATGATTTTGGAATTTTGTGCAAATAAAATTTTTAAATTTCAATGATTTTGGAATTTTGTACAAATAAAATTTTTAAATTTCAATGATTTTGGAATTTTGGGCAAATAAAATTTTTAATTTTAATGTTTTTGGAATTTTTTACAAATGAAATTTTTAAGTTTCAATATTTTTGAAGTTTTTTACAAATAAAATTTTTAAATTTCAATGTTTTTGGAATAGTTTACAAATAAAATTTTTTAATTTCAATGGTTTTGCAATTTTTAAAAAAAAGAATTTTAAATTTCAATGTTTTTGGAATTTTTAGAATAAATTTTACAACTTTCTTTGTAATAAAATGTTTCAATTTAAATAGTTCTTTAGAATTTTTATAACACAAATTTTGCAATTATTTTTCCGTTTTTTTTTGTTGAATTTTTTAAATTTAAATTTTTTTAGAAGTTTTTGCAATAAAATTGTTTAAATTTAAATACTTTAAAAATTTTTCCCAATAAAATTTGAAGTAATTTTTTTTAAAATTTGAATATTTTTAAAATTTTCTACATTCAAATATTTTTAGAATTTTTTCTAATAAAATTTGGAGATTAATTCATTTTTCCTCTATTTTATTTAAATTTTCTTTGAATTTTGTTATAATTTTGAATAATTTTTATAAATTTTTTACAATAAAATTGTTTAAATTAAAATAATTTTAGAATTTTTCCTAATAAAATTTTCTTTAATATTTAAATTTTTTTCTCTTCGTTTTTTAAATTTTAAAAAAAAATTTATAAAAATTTCAATATTTTTAGAAGTTTTTAGAATTAAATGTTTAAATTTTACTATTTCTTTAGAATTTTTATAATAAAAAAATTTGCAATAATTTTCACTGTTTTTAATTTTTTATAATAAAATTTTTAAATATAATGTTTTTATAATTTTTTTATAAATAAATTATTGAAATAAATTATTTTTGCAATTTTTTGTAATAAAATTTCGAAATTTATATTTAAAAACTTTTTTTTATAATAAAATTGTTCAAATTAAAATTTTTTTAGAATTTTTATAATAAAAATGAAATTTGTAAATTTTTTTACAATAAAATTGTACAAATTTAAAATTTTTTAGAATTTTTATAATAAAATTTGCTATAATTTTCAATTTTTTGCAGTAATTTTTATTTTTTTTCAAAATTTCCTTCAATTTTTCATTAAATTTGAATATTTTTAATAATAAAATTGTTTCAATTTGAATATTTTTTTCGACTTAAAAAAAATTGCTTTTAGTTTCATTTCTAGAATTTTTCATATTAAAATTATTAAATTTAAATATTTTAAAAAAATTTTCTACAATAATGAAATTTACTGTATTTTTTTTTTATTTTTGAATAATTTTCAAAATTTTTTTGTCCTTAAATTTTTCAATTTGAATATTTTTATATTGTTTTCTACAATTTTGTAAAATTTATCTTTAAACTAAATTTCTCAATTAATAAATGAAATTTTAAATAATTAAATTTAAACATTTTTTAACAGAATGTTTAATTAATAATCAAATTTCGCTTTTTAGTTTATAATTTAAAAAATTTTTCCAATCAAAATTATTAAATTTGAATAGTTTTAAAGAATAAAATTTGCTATAATTTTTTCTTTTTTGAATTTTTTACTGTGGAATTTTTTCAAATTGGGAATATTTTTAGAATTTTTTCTTTTTTGTAATAAAATTAATAAAAATTAATTTTAAAAAAATTCCTGTAATTAAATTTGCAGTAAATTTTCAATTTTTTCTCTATTTTATTCAAATTTCCTTTTAATTGTTTTTTAAAATTTTTTATATTTTCTATATTTTTGATATTTTTAATTATTTTTAGAATATTTTATAGTGAAATTTTTTAAGTTTAAATTTCGTTTTGAAAAATAAATATAAAATTTTAAATTATAAATTATTCAAATTAATTAATTTACAAAATAGTTAAATTAATTAAATTATCAAAAAAAGTTATGAAATTGCAGCAAAAAAATTGGTTAAATATTTAATTATTTTTATATAGTTATTTTCAATAAAAATTATTCTTTTTTTCATTTGTTTATTTATTTTTTCATTTATTTATTCATTTAGTAATTTATTTATTTATTCATTTTGTCATTTATTTATTTAGTTATTTATTCATTTCTTCATTTATTTATTTAGTCGTTTATTTATTTAGTAATTTATTTATTCATTTGTTTATTTATTTACTGATTTATTTATCTATTTAGTTATTTATTTATTCATTTAGTCATTTATTTATTTCTTCATTTAATAATTTATTTTTTTATTTATTTCTTCATTTATTTATTAATTTGCAATATAAACGGAACGAGAGACTAATAATTATTATTTTATCTCTTCCTTCGTAGATATGTGGATTCTTGTCATGGCTCAACATTTTGTGACTGTCTGCGTCGTTTGCGTATTGTGCGCAACACACAATCCATGCTCGGCACACAGCGATTTTTCACCGCAACAATCGTCAAATTCCTATGAGGACGAAACGAAAAATTATCATTTTACAAATATCGACAAATCAATAAATCCCTTGCGAGATGACGATTTAATAAAAAATAATATTAATAATAATAACAATAATAACGACGAGAACGATGACGACGATAATGATGGCGATTTTTATTATTTAGAAAATGTCGCCACCGATAATGTAAATAATAACAATAAAAATAATAAAAATAGAGAAAAGAGAATTGAAAGAAGAAGTCTTCGAAAAAAATCCTCATCAACACAATTGAGGAAGCAACAACAACAACAACAGCAACAACAATTATTGTCAATAAAACAAGAGGAATCGTTGAGAATTCGACGACATGTGGAAATTGACGGGAAATTATTTACGAAAAAAGTATTTGAAACTTATGGTAATGGAGAGAATATGACAATGAAGGGATTTCAGGAATTGTTGAAGAAATTAGGATTAGTTAAACTTATTGTGGAATTGGATGAGACACGAGATGAATTGAATTCTGAGGGTGAGAAAACTTTTACTATTCTTTTTATCCTTTTTCAATTCTTTTTATTCAATTTTCTCTTTTTTTGGGGGAAAAAAAATTTTTTTTTTTATTTTCTATTTCCAATTTTTTATTTAATAAAAAAAGAAAAGAAACGAAAGAAAAAATTGCTGACGTAGGGAAAACAATGTTTTAATTTTGAAATTTAAATACGATTTTTTTTCTTTTTAAACAAAATTAAACAAAATTTAAGAAACAAATTAAAAAAATTTGTTATTGTCAAATAGGAAATTCACATTTTTGTATTAAATTCCAGATTATAAATTTAGAAGAATTTGCTTTGGTAATTAAATAACTAATTATTATTATAAAAATATAATTCTTCGTAAGAATTCAATTATTTTTATAAACAAATTCAAAAAAAAACTCCAAAGAATTCAATTATTCAAGAAAAAATCTAATGAAATTCGTCGTAGAAATTCAATTCTTTCTTCAAAATTTCTAGAAAAATTATTTTCATAAATAATTACAAATCTTCCCAAGAATTCAATTATTTTCTTAAAAAATGAAATTCTTACCCAAAAATTCAATTATTTTCTTAAGAACTAAAATTTTCAACAAGAATTCAATTATTTACATAAAAAAATAATTTTTTTACAAGAATTAAATTATTTTCTTCAATTTTGAGAAAAATTCTCTAAAAAGTTTCAATTATTTTCATAAAAACTAAAATTTGCTACAAGAATTCAATTATTTTCATAATAGAAAAAATTGTGTCACAAGAATTCAATTATTTTCTTCAATTTGGAGAAAATTCTCTACAAAAATTCATTTATTTTCATAAAAACTAAAATTTGTTACAAGAATTTAATTATTTTCATAAAAAAAAAAAATTTTAACAAGAATTCAATTATTTTCTTCAATTTTGAAAAAAATCTCTACAAAAATTCAATTAGTTTATTAAAAACTAAAATTTGCCACAAAAATTCAAATATTTTCATCAAAAACTAAAAATTGTCACAAGAATTCAATTATTTTCTTCAATTTTGAGAAAAATCTCTACAAAAATTCAATTATTTTCTAAAAATCTAAAATTTGACACAAGAATTTAATTATTTAGAAAAAAAAATTTAATAATATTCTTCACAGAAATTCAATTATTTTCAAAAGTTTTATTAAGATTTTTTGGAAACAAAATTCAATTCTTTCTACAAATTTCTAGAAAAATTATTTTCATGAATAATTAAAATCTTCTTAAGAATTCAATTATTTTCAAATAGAATTTCTCTATAGAATTCAATTATTAAAATTGTAGGATAAATTTATCCTACAAATTCTCAAAAAATTGAATTATTTAGAAAAACAAGAAATTATTCGCAGGAATTCAATTATTATTATTATTATTATTTTTATTTTCAATTTTAATGGAAAAAATTAATTTTTTTTGTAAATAATAAAAAAATTCTTTCCAAGAATTAAATTATTTTCTTTTATTTTGAGAAAATTCTCTACAAAAATTCAATTATTTTCTTAAAAACTAAAATTTACCACAAGAATTCAATTATTTACTAAAAAAAAACTTTTTTCACAAGAATTCAATTATTTTCTTTTATTTTGAAAAAAATCTCTACAAAATTTAAATTATTTTCTTAAAAATTAAAATTTACCACAAGAATTCAATTATTTTCTTTAATTTTGAAAAAATTCTCTACAAAAATTCAATTATTTTCTTAAAAACTAAAAATTATCCAAATAAATTTAATTATTTTCATAAAAAAAAATTGTCACAAGAATTCAATGAATTTCTTCCATTTTTTAAAAAATTCTTTACAAAAATTTAATTATTTTCATAAAAAATAAAATTCATCTCAAACATTCAATTATTTACATAAAAAAACAATTTTATTTCACAAGAATTCAATTATTTTCTTTCATTTGGAGAAAATTCTCTACAAAAATTAAATTATTTTCTTAAAAAATAAAATTCTTCTGAAAAATTCAATTATTTTTTTAAAAAATAAAATTCTTCTGAAAAATTAAATTATTTTCTTAAAAATTAAATTATTTTCTTAAAATTAAAATTCTTCTAAAAAATTAAATTATTTCCATATAAAAAAATTTGTCACAAGAATTTAATTATTTTCTTCATTTTTGAGAAAATTCTCTCCAAAAATTCAATTATTTTCTTAACAAAATAAATTCTCCTCAAAAATTCAATTATTTTTTTACAAAATCAAATTTTTTTTATGAATTTAATTATTTTCATAAACAATAAATTTATTCACAAGAATTCAATTATTCTTCAATTTTTTTTAATTTTGAGAAAATTTTCTACAAGAATTCAATTATTTTCATAAAAAAAAAAATTTGTCACAAGAATTCAATTATTTTGTATCAAAAATAAAATTTGCCACAAAAATTCAATAAAGAGATTTTGAATATTTAAAAAAAATTTTATTCACATTTTAAAAAAAAATGCAATTATTATTGAAAAAAAAATGATTAGTTACTAATTGAATTAATTTAGTTAATTTATTATAATAATTATTAAATTTATTCTCCTTAAAGTTTTGTTCTCCAATTTGAAATGAAAAAATTCTCCAAATGTCAGATTGTCAAAAAAAAAATATTTTAACAACGAGTCAATCAAAGGCAATTAACCTTTTTCTTTTTGAAGATCAAATTGCAAATTAATTGAAAACGAAAATTGCCTTGTGAAATAATTTTTGATTAGTGTTAACGAAGGAAACGCGGCGAAAGTCATGGACGAAAGTTCAAGGCAATTATTTCTAAAAAGTTCACGGACCGTTGAGAGAACTTTTTTTTTCTTTTTTTTTTATTTAAACTTTGAGAAAATATTCCCGTTGATTAGGCGGGAAATTTTTTTTCTCTCTCTCTTTTTCTCTCTTTCTCTCTCTCTTTTTCTTTTTAATTGATCAAAATAAACGGTAGAAATTTTTTTTTTTTTAAACAAAAAAAATGAATTTATAGAAAAGAAAAATCGACGAACGAAAGAAAAAAATTTTGTTCGTTCTTTTTCTCTCTATTTTTCTATTTTTTGTTTGAATCGATCAATAAACGGTAGGAAAATTTTATTTTTACAAAAACAGAATTAAAAATAAAAATAAAGAAAAATCGATGAACAAAAATGAAAAAAAAACGAGGCAAAAAATTAAACATTTGAAAATTTTTGTATTTATTAATTTTTTATAAATTTCATTTTTGTTTTTATTTTTTATATTCATTATTTTTAATTGTTAAAATTTTAATAATTATTCACTATTTTAACTTTTCCTCTTATTTTAATTTTAAACTATAACATTTTCTCAACATTTCTTTATTTAAAAAAAAAATTTTTTTTTAGTTCAAATTTAAAACGAAAATCGTAATAAAATTTAATTCGATAATTAATTAAAATTCAATTTAATTAATAATTTAATTAATTATTTATTTATTTATTTATTTATTTTTATTTATTTATTTATTTAAATTCTGACGGATTTAAATTAATTTGAATTTAAATTAATAATAATTAATAATTAAAAGTTTTTGTTCGATTTTGTTAAATTACAAAATTATAAAAATTGCAGGAAAATAATAATAAAATAAAAAATCTTTATAAAAGTGACATTTTATTAAATTAAAATAAAGTTCTGAGAAAAAAAAGTAAAGAAAAAAAAATGGTAAAAATGAATTAAAAATTAAAAATAAATAAAAAGAATAACAACAGGAAATAGTTTTTTTTGAGGCGTAAAAAAAAATTAATCGATAAAAAACTCTCGTAATCAATTATTGTATTCGAGATTGATTTGATATAAAATTAAAAGTGTCGGATAGAAAAATAATTATCTCAAAGAATGCGAAAATCACACGAGTTCAAGATATTTTATATAGATTACAAAAAAAAAAAAAAGATTGAAAAAAAAGAATAGAAATCTTGTCATGATTATATTAATTATTATAAAGATAATGATAATAATAATTGTTATTATTATTATTGTTATCATTATCTTATAATTATAATGATAAGAAATAATAATTATTATTATATTTATTATTAATAATAATAATAATAATAATAATAATAATAATAATAATAATTTATAATAATAATTTATAATAATAAGAAGTAATAATTGTAATAATAATTATTATTATTACTATTTTTAATTATTATTATTATTATTGCTATAAGAATAAAAAGATATTAAAATGAAAATAGTAATAATACTAATCGTAATCTTGATAAAAAGTATTTAGTGATATTTCTGAGACGAGACATTTGATTGTCTGATTAAATTGACCCATGAAATTAGTCATTGACATTGCTCGACAATTGTTTGAAATTATTATGGGATTTTAATTTCTAGTTTCATGTTTTTTAATCACAGAAAATAAAATTTTAAAAAATTTTTTTCTGCCTCTAAAAATAGTTTTAGCTTTATTGCAATTAAAATTATTACTCGTGGCTCTCGATTTTTTTTTTCATTTTTATTATCTCATTACCTAACTAAATAAATTATTTCACTGTTAATTATAATTAATTATTAAAATTAATTAATTTGTTTTATTTAATTTATGTTTATATATTATTTATTATTATTTTTACAACATTTTGTTTAAAAATTCTTTGAAAATTTATTTTTAATTCGATTATTTAATAACAAAAATTGAAATTTGATTTTTAATTCAGTAATTTAATAATAATAATTAATATTATTATTTAAAAAATAAAAATTAGTATCGAGAAGCAAAAATTAACACTGCCAAGCGAAAATTGACATTGGAAAATAAAAATTAGTTTAAAAAACAAAAATTTAACATTAAAATTTTTAAATTAATTTCGAAAAGTAATTTTTTTCTACAAAAATTCAATTACTTTCATAAAAAAAATAAAATTGTGTCACAAGAATTCAATTATTTTCTTTAATTTCATTTTCTGGAAAACTAAAATTTCACACAAAAATTCAAATATTTTCATTAGAAAAAAATTGTGTCAAGTGAATTCAATTATTTTCATA